CTGAAAGACTCATCTGTGGGTGGGCTGGTTCAGGGTTGTCAAGCAGTTACAGGACACAACTCCATGGAACTAGAACAGCTACCCCTGACCAATGGCCTAATACAGAGGGTTTTATATCCTTGTTTCATTTGTTTGCTTGAGGCCGGCCTTAAACTTGCAATATAGATGAGTATGATTTTACATTTCTGACTGTGCCCTCCTCTACTTCCTAATGACAGCACCTACCACAGGTGTGCACTGCCACACATGGTTTTACTATAAAGGTAATTTACAGATGACTCCCAGCAGCCTTGCCAGAATCACAATGCTGGCACCTTTTACAGATGGATAAACTGAGGCTTAGATTTATTCAGGAGTGCACAGCTTGTCAGTGGCAGAGCCAGGTGGTGCCAGTAACCATGTCTGGTCATTTGCTTGGAATAATCTGCAAGTGTTCAGAAGCAGGGATTCCTGTGGCTCACTGGGAGGTACTAAACTTTCAGAGTCAAGGGAGGGACCCAACACACAAAGAAAAGAGAGAGAGAGACACAGACAGACAGACAGACAGACAGACAGTATTTGTGTCAGAGGACACCTTGCAGGAGTTAGTTCTCTCCTCCACCGCGTGGGTTCTGAGCATCAAACTCGGTTTGTCGGACAAGGCAGGAAACTCCTTCACCCCCTGAGCCATCTCACTTCTTCTTTTGAGACTGGGTTTGCCTTTGTACTCAGGGTAGGTCACTTTGAACTTACTAAGGAGCCCAGGCTGGTCCTGCTACCTTTGAACAAGTCTTCCAGATGAAGCTGATGTCCCAGACCAAGGACTGGCCCTCATCAGACCACACTGCCCTAGGAAGTGACATAGCCCTGACCAGAGGCTAATAATGAAGAACCATTGATGCCAGCAGCTTTACCCCAACCCCATCAGCCGTATTTCATTCATTGAACTACTCTGTAACTCAAGCGCAACACAGGAAGTTCTTGGCCCTTTGACTGAATGATCTGGCCTTTTCAGAGACAGACAGCACGTCATACCCTAAGGACCCAGACTGATCAGGCCTCCAGTATCTAACCTATCTGCTCAAATGCAGAGGAAGGGGAAGAGAAAGGTGACATGGGACCTGTGTCACTTCCTCTCACATCCTGCAACCATCCTGCAAAGTCCTTGAAGAACACAGTGGCTAGTGACTTTAATCCCAGCACTTGGAAGGCAAAAAAGCAGGTGCAATCTCTTAGTTTGAGCTTAGCCTGATATATAAGTTTCAAGACAGCCAGGGCTACACAGAGAAACCCTGTCTCAAACCCCGAACCCCCCCAAAAAGAGGTGGGTTTAAGAAGCTGGGGGCTTCAACAAATAAGAGTCTGGCTGTTGAGCAGAAGTTCAGCTCCATAATAAAGCCAAAATCAGAGGCTGGGCTTCAAACACACATAGCCCCTCTGCCTTGCCTCCAGGGTCACAGACAGGACCCCCAAATCTCACCATCTGGCTATAAAAGGAAGCAGCCAGGGTGTAGACAGATCAAAACAAGTCCAGTGTCACTCATGGAAACAGCCAATTGGGGGAACAGTGATGGATGGTGATCCGTGGTGTCCTGGAGTTAGAGGACACCCCGCCAGAAAGGACCTCACAGTACCTAATCAGTTCCAGAAAGGGGCTTTGTTCTCCTGAAGGGAGGTGGGAGATCAAAGCACTTCTTGCTAATCACCCTTGAGCATTAATGACTTGTGGGGTAACCAGACCCAGGGCAGACCCTGCTCCCCGCCTTGCATCCTGGTGGCCTCAGTGAGCACCCTTGATCTTTCAACCCCACGGGAATCAAATTGGAAGGAAGCTGACTGCAAACCTGGGAACCCAGGGACCCGGTGTGGCCCAGGCAGCCAGTCGTTCAGTCATTCCTTCCTTTCCTGTTAACTTTTGAACCCTACCCGCCAGGAAATGCTTAAGTGTGGCGCTACCCTCCTCCTTCCCGCCCCTCCCTCTGCCACATTTCACTGAGTTCTCACACAAATGCATGACAGAAGCAGGCTCTGGAGCTGTGTGGACCTCGGCACATGATGTTCGTGCCTCTCTGAGTTCATCACCAGGGAGCATCACAGAGATACCATCCAGCACCTAGCTTTGTTGGAGGAACAAAGAAAAAAACTAGAAACTCTACTGAGGCGGACAGGGGTAAGATGATGTGCAGAGACAAAGCTAGAAGATAAAAAGATTTTTTTTTTAATTAAAAATTATTGGCCCCATGTATTGGCTCACTTGTGCTGTAATCCTGGCCTTTAGAGGGCTGAGGCGGGAAGACTAAGGTTCAAGGCAGGCAGCCTGGGTTACCTACAAAGTGAGGTTTTTGTTTTGTTTTGTTTTCTTTTCTTTTTTGTTTTGTTTTGTTTTTCGAGACAGGGTTTCTCTGTGTAGCTTTGGAGCCTATCCTGGCACTCACTCTGGAGACCAGGCTGGCCTCAGACTCACAGAGATCTGCCTGCTTCTGCCTCCCGAGTGCTGGGATTGAAGGCGTGCGCCACCAACGCCCAGCTTTACAAAGTGAGTTTTAAGAAAGCCTGGGCTACAGAGTGAGAACTTCTCTCAAAACAAATATAAGAATAAAAACACTCTAACAACTGGTTAGAGCTAGGTGTGCCACAGCCCCTGCCCTGAACTCCACTCATTGTTCACAACAACCTCTCCGAGGTCCCCTGCCACTAATTCTGAGATTACAGTGGACAGTGTCAAATTTGTCTTTTCAAAAACGCCTGTTCCGCAGGCTCTAGTGCTTCCACTGGAGCAATACCTCACCTAGTCAGGACAAGGGCTACATCAGAGCCTTACTTTGCTATGTAGAGCCACATGACCCCAGGCCCAGCTAGTAGCTTCCTTCAGGCCACTGTCTACGGGAGCTCGTGGACTGATATACAGAGCGTGTCCTGTAACCCCACACATTCCTACCAGTGAGGCGGGTCTTAGGGGGATCCAGTTTTAGATCTATCTCTTAAGTTTCATTGAGTTTTGGGACATTCAATACACCAAGTAATGGATGCCCTTTCCTCACACAGTCCCACGTTTGGGAATCGATTCTCTGGCGACACTCAACAATGTGAAAAGAGCCATCAGTATACCACCCTTTGACAGAAATAATCAATGAGTTTTCCTCCTGTACTGGGACCTCGAACTCACTTCTACTAAGCCTTATCCTCAGCTGACTTTCTGCAAATCAGGGTTTTTGGCAGCACCTATATGTCTAGAAAGTTCTTCTCAGTGTCATTTATAATAAGAACAAAAAAGGCAGAAATTAGCAAAACACCCATCCAGGCTACTTGATAACAGTTTTTGTTGGAAATGAAAGCCAGGGTTTCACACATGCTAAGCAGGAATTCTGCCACTGAATGATACCCAGAGCTCAGACATCCTTTGCTTTTGGCTTGCAGTTGGGGATCCAACCCTACCTATCACAGAGCCTTTCTTGTGACACCCAATGTTCTGCCACTGAGCCAAATCTGCAGTGCTTAGTTTACTGAAGTAGGGTCACTCTAGCTGTCTTTGAACTAGCCATGGAGCCCAGGCTGGGTTCAAACTCTACTTCCTCTTGTCTTAACTCCTTGAATGCTGGGAGTGTGTGTTGCCAGTGAAAGGTTCAGGCTTTGACGCTGATCGGCTCTACCTCTTTAAGAGACAGACCCTGCCCCCTGACAACAGTCAGGGCATGGGCAAGAAAACGTGCTATGTCATCACCACGTCACCTGTCACCCATGATGACTCTGGACATGCGTGGAACCTCAGTCCCAACTTTCCTGCTTCTCTCTCTCTCTGCTTCCTCTCTACTCTCTTTCTCTGTCTCTTCTTGGCTCTCTCTCACCTATGCACTCTCTCTGCCTCTATGGCGACCAGTCTTTACCCCTGTTCCTCTTCTCTCTTAGTCTCCATATTCTGCAGGGCCTTATAATAAACTAGTCAACATGTCTCATCTTGTATCTTTCTCTTTTCCTCTTTTTAAATAAAAACATAACAGCCAGGAGCAACAGTGGTTATCATTTAGAGCAGTGGCTGAATGACCTTTTCACGGGGGCTGCTTAGGACTATCCTGCATTATCAGATATTTACATTATGATTCATACAGTAGCAAAATTACAATTGTGAAATAGCAACGAAAATAATTTTATGGGTTTGGGCGGTGGGGGGGGGGTCACCACGACATGAGGAACTGGGTTAAAGGGTCACAGTATTAGGAAGGTTGAGAACATTGATTTAGAGTTTGCCGACTGTGGGCCAGCCCTTATTCTGAAAGCTTTATGGGCCTAATCACACTGAGTCCTCGGAGCCACTCCAGGTGCTGGTCTAAACCAATGAGGAAATGTATGTACGGTGTGCATCTGAGCAGTGAAGGAAGCACAGTACAGACCGTGAAGGATGGAGCAAAGCCCTGCATGGTGCCTGTGCCGCCACAGTCCTTCATCTACCAACTCATCTCCAGAGCCCCAGTTTAGACTTTCCTTTTTTTTTTTCCCCGAGACAGGGTTTCTCTGTGGCTTTGGAGGCTGTCATGGAACTAGCTCTTGTAGACCAGGCTGTTCTCGAACTCATCAGAGATCTGCCTGCCTCTGCCTCCCGAGTGCTGGGACTAAAGGTGCATCACAAACAACTGGCTCAGTTAAGACATTTTTATGTTAAATGTGAAATGCCGATTTGTTTTAAGAAGAGAGAGAGAGAAGTTACTTTAAAAGGGAGGGCAATAGTCTGTAGCAGGACAGGGAGGGAACAAAGCAAAAGTGAAGTCACCTAATGACAGAGCAAGCCTCACTTCTGCAGTTTACAGGTGGCCACCAGGGGCCACTACTTGCAGTTTCCAAAGCTAGTAAAGGGAACCCTTTAAAAAGGAAAGCATTTGCAGGGACATTTCATTAACACCATTTGTGCTAAGTGGGGTACCCTGTCCCAGGAGCCAGTACAGAACAGCTCGGGACTCCCGGCCAGCACACAGGATGGGTGGAAGGCAAAGAGAAGTGCTCTCCCACCTTCGAGTAATCTCTCTTACCTTTGGAGTCTTCTTTGGCCAACTGACCACGGGGACCCCAGTGATGGCCAGGCTGGGATCGTCGTCCACATGCTCCTTTAGTACATTCTGTGGCCAAACAAAGGATCCATATTAACTGGGGGTGAAGGGAAAATCTCTTAAAAGAGGCAAAACTAACCCCTTTAAGGTTTGCAATCGCTCAAAAAAAAAAAAAAAAAAAAAATTCACTGCCACCATCTACCACTCTATAGAAATCAACTTGCTAACTTTCTGAGCCCGGTGGTGGTGGCACATGCCTTTAATCCCAGCAGTTGGGAGGCAGAGGCAGGCAGATCTCTGTGAGTTTGAGACCAGCCTGGTCTACAACAGCGTCAAAGACTCTCACACGAAGTTTACATAGTGTCTGTAATGTATGCTCACATATATGTGTTGTCCTCAGAGAACTCACAAGCCAGAGAAGGGTCCTGGGTCTCCTTCACTGTCTCTTTCCACCTCAGTCCTTTGAGACCAGAACCTCTTGATGAAAAACACAGTTTGCAGTTTAGGGGCTAGGCAGAGCACCAGCAAGACTAAGTAATGCTGTCACTGTCCACCGCAGCCCTGGGATTATAAGCATGTCCAGAACCGCGTCAGGTGTGATGTAGGTGATGGGATATGAGTTTTGTTCCTCGTGCTTCTGCAGCAAAGTCCAGCAGCAGACATTCTTAACTGCTAAGCCATCTCTCCAGTGAGTTCTCACTTCTCAGCCAGGGAGGCAGGGATATGAGCAGCTTAAAACTGCTAAAGCCCATGAAGTCAACTGTGTTCTCAAAGAGACAAATACAAACCAGTCACGCACAGGGCCTACGCCTGTCATCCCAGCACTTGGGAAGGGGAGGCAGGATGATCAGGATTTCAAGGTCATTCTCTGCTATATACTGAGTATGAGACCAGCCTTGGCTACATGTGTTCCTACCATGAAAGAAAAAAAAATCAACAAAAGACAGAGAATGAGGAGGAAGAAGGATTTTATACAATGAAAAATTCATGGTCAACAGATGCTGGTAGCGCACATCTTTAAGACCAGCAAAGGCAGGCAGAGGCAAAGGCAGGCAGATCTCTGTGAGTTTGAGGGCAGCCTGGTCTATAAAGCAAGTTCCAGGACAGCCAGGACTGTTACACAGAGAAACCTTGTCTTGAAAAACCAAAAAAAGAAAAAATCATGGTAAAGGTTCAGCAGAGGTCAGTGACAAGTGAGAAGTTGAAAGGTCTTAGCCCTTAAAATACAGGTTCCATCTGGTTTCATTTTTCTTGGTGACCTACAGACATAGGCATGTGTGAAGAAGTGGAAAGCCTGGCCTAGAGAGCAGAGCTGTCTTGGTTTGACTCTTTGCCCTGGGACATCCAATTCAGTGATGATTACTATTTATAAAATATCTTGACCGAGCTGGGTGGTGGTAGCTCCTGCCTTGAACCCCAGCACTGTGGGAGATCTCTGTGAGTTCAAGGCCAGACTGGCCCACAGAACTCATTCTAGGATAGCCAAGGCTACACAGAAAAAACAAACCAAACAAACCATGACCACCAAAAATCTCTTGACTATGTTATGGTTTAAATGAGCATTGTCAGGCCGGGCGTTGGTGGCGCATGCCTTTAATCCCAGCACTTGGGAGGCAGAGGCAGGCGGATCTCCGTGAGTTTGAGGCCAGCCTGGTCTCCAGAGCGAGTGCCAGGATAGGCGCCAAAGCTACACAGAGAAACCCTCTCTCGAAAAACCTAAACAAATAAATAAATAAATAAATAAATGAGCATTGAATCTCATAATGTCATGCATGTCAATACTTTGTCCCCAGCTAGTGACAATTTGAGATCATAGGACCTTTTGGACATGGAGGCTATGTGGCAAGATAGGGCAATGGGGGGTGGGTGTTGGAGGGGTTACAGGTGAGCACAGTTTCCTGCTTGCTATCTCTCTGACTCCTGAGTGCTGCCAAAATATGACAAGCTGTTCCAGAGGCTTCCATCATGCCTTCCCTGCTACTATAGACTGATGGCTTCTCAAACTATAAACCAGAAAAGTCTCTCCTTAAGTGGCTTCTGCCAGATGTTTGGTGGAAGCAGTAAAAAGAGCAAGTGACACACTGTTGTATGCCCAAAGCCCCACATGACTAACTATGGGAAGCTTCCAGCAGATAAAATTCAAGCCAGAAAGCCTCAAGCCTCCAAAGAGGGACATGCTACAAAATACCTGACCCCAAAACTGCCAACATCATAAAACACAAGAAATAGTCCAGCCAAGAGAACGCTGAAGAAATTAAATGTAATGGGGTATCAGGGATGAGATTCTGAGACAGAAAAGGAAATCAGAAGAAATGACGAAACTTTAGTTTTAAGGGCTGTGTCGATGTTTCATTTGTCTGAATTTTCTATAAACCTACCTAAATCTTTTCTTGCCGGGTGAAGGGACACAGGTATTTGAATCCAGCACTCGGGAGGCAGAGGCAGGCAGATTTCTGTGAGGTCAAGGCCAGCCTGGTCTCCAGAGCAAGTGCCAGGGCAGGCTCCAAAGCTACACAGAGAAACCCTGTCTCGAAAAAAACAAAAACAAAAACAAAAACAAAAAGAGTTCAAGGCCAGCCTGGTATACACGGTGAGTTCCAGCCAGATGACCTGGTGAGACCCTGTGTTACCAAACACAACCATCCCCCCACCCAAAAAGGAAAAAAGTTCCCCAAAGGTATATTAATTAAGATGTTTTGTTTTTTAAAGGCATGACGATGTAGTTCTGGCTGGCCTTGAACTCAGAGATCTGCCTGCTGCTGTATACCTTTTTTTTTTTTTTAGTTTTTTTGAGACAGGGTTTCTCTATGTAGCTTTCTCTGTGTATCACTGGCTATCCTGGAACTGGCTCTGTAGACCAGGCTGGTCTTGAACTCACAGAGATGGATTGCCTCCGCTTTCCAAGTGCTGGCATTAAAGGTGTGTGCCACCAACAGCTGGATCCTTTTTATTTATTTATTTTTTTGGTTTTTCGAGACAGGGTTTCTCTGTGGCTTTGGAGGCTGTCCTGGAACTAGCTCTTGTAGACCAGGCTATTCCTGAACTCACAGATATCTGCCTGCCTCTGCCTCCCGAGTGCTGGGATTAAAGGCGTGTACAACCAAGCCCAGCTACCTTTGTATTTTTTAATTAAACAATATAGTTCTAAAGTTTTCCCAAGGTGTCCTTGTAGCCTAGACCTCACATACCAAAGAAAGCCAAGTTCCCATCTGTATTTGGCATTTGATGGCCACCAGGGGGCACAATGAGCCTTGTCTTGATGAGAAATATTTTCTCTTATAAAGGCGAGAAAGTTAGGGGAGGTATAGCCTAATGCGAGACTTTTCTCTCAAAAAAAAAAAGAAAGAAAGAAAGAAAGAAAGAAAGAAAGAAAGAAAGAAAGAAAGAAAGAAAGAAAGAAAGAAAGAAAGAAAAAAAGAAAGAAAAAAAGAAAGAAAGAAAAAGAAAAATGTAGGGGTTGGAGAGATGGCTCAGAGGCTAAGAGCACCAACTACTCTTCTAGAGGTCCTGAGTTCAACTCCCAGCAACCACATGGTGGCTCACAACCATCCATTATGAGATCTGGTGTCCTCTTCTGATGTACAGATATACATGGAAGCAGAATGTTGTATACATAATAAATAAATAAAATCTAAAAAAAAAAAAAAAATGTTCCAGAGGGAATGATGTCACAGGATTCCTTAGGCTCTGCCTGAATTTATACATTTTTAGGGACTTTGGAGCACACAGACAGAATGAAGGTTGTGCACACGCCTACACTGCTCCAGCCCCTAGGGAGTATACCTTACAAACCTGTGGCTCTGGCAAAGCCAGAGCAAGGCTTCCTGTATAAGGATGGAGCTACGACCAGGCTCATGCTACTGGCAACTTCCCCATGTGTGGCCTTCCAAGGAACCACAGGCTAGTTAGGCTGTGGCACTCCTCATGCTAACTTTTCTCAAAGAACTTAATTTGTTAACAAGAGATTTTGGTACCATTGCTCCCCAGGGTGGGGGAGCTAATCACTGGAAGCCCCAGTGACTAGCAACACCAGTGACAAGGCAGTGGCTGCTGTCATGAAAGCAACACCAAGGAGAGGTTGCTAAGAGGGAGTATGACAAGGCCAGAGCTACTTGCTCTAGGGAACACTAGGTACCAGTATGTTTGGGCCATCTCTGAACCCCTCCCTCCATTCCATCTGCACCTGAAAAAACCTCATCTGTAGTGGGGTTCATCATGACCCTCCCCAGAACACAGTGTTCAAGGCTCAACTCTAAACTCCAACACATGCAAATGGAAATTTCCAGTCTTCTGTGGAAAGGGCCCTGAATCCTGTGGCTATCTATACATACCGGGTTCGGATATGCCTGGGTGTCTGAGAAAGAGTTCTTTCCCCACACCCTGCTCTCCCTTCATTTTCCCAAGGATGCACAGGCAAGGGGACACAGCACACATGGTTCATTCTGTGGTTCTTCTGGAAGCCAGCCCCTAGCTGCTCACTTCCTGCCTTTTGGCTTCTCTGAAAAGGCTCCTTTGAAGTCAGCAAGAAGGTGATTTTACAAAGTCATTAGGGCTGGAGATGGAGACTCAGTGATAGAATGGTAGCTTAAGATGAAGAAGGTCCTGGGCCCAGCTTCATGAAACACACACACACACACACACACACACACACACACACACACACACACAGATAGATAGATAGATAGATAGATAGATAGATAGATAGATACACCCAAAACTGACTGATTTCATCAGAAAAGTACAGAAAGTGGCAGCTTTAAGAGCAGGTAGGCTCCAGAGTGGAAAACTGGAAGTCCCCAACAGAGAAAAAAGCTTTGCTCCCCTCCTCCCCTCCCCATATCATGGCTTCATGAGCTTAGACCTGACTAGAAACAAAACTGTTTCCATCCCAAGGTGTGTGAAATATAACAATACCAACTCTAGTTTACTAAGCATGTCAATGCCTTGCTAGGGCTTTACTTTAGCCATGACACATTGTACCTCCTCCTGTTTTATGGTGTCAGCAGCATAATGGACTGCATAGGAACTGCAACCTGACACCACAACTGTCCTCAAAGATAAACAATATCCATCCATAATACTTATTTATTATGTAGACAGTGTTCTGCCTGTATGTCTGCCTGCACACCAGAAGAGGGCACCAGATCTCATTATAGAGGGGACTAAACTTGGGACCTCTGGAAGAGCAGCCAGTACTCATAACCTCTGAGCCATCTCTCCAGCTGAACAATGCACTCTTAATTTAGAATTCACATCCATTTGGGCAGGGCACTCTTAATTTAGGACTTACTTCCTATTAAGTTTGGAGGTTGATGTCAGAGTAATACAACCAATCTCTATTTGGTTGCTGATTAAAACAAACAATAACAGCAACAAAAAACTCTTGCCCAGGTATGTTAGTTCATGTCTATAATCCTGATACTTGAGTGGGTAAGGCAATATTGCCACAAGATTAGAACAAGCCTGAGCTACATATAGCCTGGGCTGTAGGGTGAGAATATGTCCAAAAAAAAAAAAAAAAAAAAAAAAAAAAAAAGGATAGAAAAGGAAGGAAGAGGGGAAAGAGAGACTTCAAAACAAGAAAGCCTGACTTAGGTCTTCAGCCCCACAGCCCTGTGTAGCCCCATAATTCCGTGCAATTAGATGGGGGATTTTCTATGCCATGGTAACGTGATGGTAGCCACAAGAGCTTGAGATCATGGCAAGGTGGTACAGCAGTGTGTGGTTAATGATAGTTAGGCTGCACTTTGCTCAGCCAGTCTCAGAAGCAGCTTGCAGAGGTCATTTGACAAGGTCATCCCACCTACACCCTCTGCCAAGTCAGGCCAAAGCCCTTCACAACCCTGCCACACCCTGGGCTGTATTCTAGTCACTTAGAACTGAACTGGGGATGATACGCTACATGCCCATCTCCTTTTCCCCCGGAGCCACAGCTCTCTCCCCGAGTTCTAGCTGAAAGTGGAGATGCTTCTGGGAGAGACCACTTGCTAGGCAATCCCATCTCACGGTGAATCACTTCATCCCACAGTTGTCACTAATTACTGTGTCCTCAAAATTCATGTGCGCTTAAGAGTCCCAGAATGTGACCCTGGGAATGGTTTACATTTAATCAAGCTGATGTGAGGTTCTGCTGGATCCATCTGGGCCTGAATCCCCACCTCTCATCTGTTCTCCAGGAACAGTTAGCTTGCATTTTGTTTCCTAGGACTGATGTCACAGAGCACCATAGGTTCAGCCGCTTAGACATCCATACACCCTCTTTTTGGGCTTGGAGACTGCCAGTCTGAAACCATGTTTGCAGAGCCCTACCCACACCCAAGGCTCTGGGAAAGCATCTGTTCTTGGCTTCTCCCTCTCCTCAGGCCTTAGCATTCCTTGGCTTACAGTTCTGTCACTCCCATCTTAGTCCACGGTTAGGATTGATTGTGAATGGCTTTCCCTCTCTGGATGTCGATAGTGAGCCATCTTGCCAGAGCCCATTTCAGTTTGCTATGTTAGATTCACTTATGTACTCATTGTGTGTGTGTGTGTGTGGTGTGTGTGTGTGTGTGTGTGTGTGTGTGTGTGTGTGTGTGCGCGCGCGTGCGCGCGCGAGTGCACGTGTGTTTGGAAGCTTTTATGTACCACGTGCATGCAAGGGACAAAAGGGGAAAGAAGAGAGTTTCATGCCAAAGGACTGGAGTTACAGGCCACCATGTAGGTGCTGGGAACCAAACTTGGGTCCTTACAAGAGCAGCTAAGTACTCATAACCACCCCCACCTGTCCCACACCTCATTTCAGTTTTTAAAAAAAGTTTTAAAATTATTTTTTATTATATTTATTGGTGGGGGCATCCCAAGGTATAACTGCAGAGGTCAGAGGTCAGAAAATAGGCCAATCAGTCAAGTCAGTGCTCTCCCTCTACCATGTATGTTCCAGGGATGGAATTCCGGTCATCAGACTTAGCCAGTGCCATTATCTACTGAGCACTCTAGCTGGCCAAGGTTGTATCACTTAATTAATTACATGTGCATTTGTTTCTGTGTGTGGTGTGTGCAGATGAGGCCACAAGAGGGCTCCCCTGGAGCTGAGCTTACAGGTGATTGGTTCCTGGAACTCAACTGTGGTCCTTTGTGAGAGCAGGAAGCGTGCTTAACTACTGAGTCATCTCTCCAGCCCTGCCCACAGCAGTTTTTAATCAAGTACCGAAGTACTTCAGAGTGACCAAAAAACATCAGCATCTGGTCCCCAGAAGGACCAAGAACATCAGGTCTGATATCTTTGTTTTGCGTTTGGCTTTTTTGAGACAGCATCTCACTATGTAGCTTTGACTAACCTAGAACTCACTAGATAGACCAGGCTGGCCTTGAACTCATGGAGACTTGCTTGCCTCTGCTTCCTGAGTGCTGGGAAGTATCTTTAATTTACGCAGCACTGGAATGAATGATGTGTCCAGGGCCACATGGCAAGTAGTGAAGAACGTAAGTCAAGTCTGAACTCAGGGATGTCCTTTATCTTGATTTCCTGGTACTGCTATAAGTGTAGTTAAAGAGGAGTGGTTCCAGTCAGTTGGCAGAGTGCTTTCACAACACACAGCCCTGCGTTTCCGGCCACCTCATAAACTGAGCATAGTGGTACCCCCCACACTTGGGGGTACAAGCAGGACTAGAAGTTCAAAGTCATCCTGGCCTACATAATGACCCTGAGGCTATCTTAGCCTGGTATACAGGAGGGTCTGTCTCAAAAATAAAAGTAAACCAAGAGGCATCTCTGAAGACACCAGTGTCAGTCAGCCTTTAATCCCAGCACTCAGGAGGCAGAGGCAGGCAGATCTCAGTTTGAGGCCCGCCTGGTCTACAAAGCAAGTTCTAGGATAGACAGGGCTGATAAACAGAGAAATCCTGTCTCAAATAAAATAAAATAAAATAAAATAATAAATAAAAATCAATCGATTAAAATTGTTTTCATTTTACAGGCTCTCACAAAGAAATAAAAAAAAGTAGCCACCTGACAGAATCCTAAGGTTGCCGTGAGGAGATCAAACTCAAAAATACCCAGTAGAAATGAGACATGGGTAAAAGCTGGAAAAGAAGCTGCCCAGGATGTGTGATGCTCTGCATCTTACCTGGTACCACAGACAACAAAGTCAAATTAGTGAGTGAGGTGCACCTGGCTTAGTGATTTCCCTTCAATGGTTCCAATGACTGGTGGTAACTGTTGGGCTACCTGACCTAAGCTCCAATGTTTCACACACTCCTAACCCCCACCACCCCACAACACCCAACTTTACCCGAGTCCCTGAGCCCTTGCAAGGCCACACAACGTTGCCTAGATAAACCTGAGTATCTCCACTGCCCCCATCAGACACTGGAGCAGCAAGTATCATAACTTCACAACTGTAGTCATAACGAAGCTAGGAGAAGCAGCCCTGTGCTGGTAGATCTGCACTACCAGCAATGTCTGCTCAGTGGGATGCCCAGCAGGCACTCTGGCATTTCTCCTGGATCCTCACATCCCAGCTCTGCCTGACCCTCAGGGGCCTCCTTGCTATGCAGATACAATTGAGATCATGGTAACCTGTCAACCTTAGCCTGTTGCACCAAGCCCACAGTCAATAGTTATGAGGAAGGTTACCAAGCTCACACACAGATTCATGCTCTGGAATGGACCCAGAATGGCAACCTGCCTCACCCAGAGACAGAAGTCTGTCTCCCAAATGCAACAGAGCACCGTTGAAACACACACAAAACTCCCTGTGGGGGAGCACTGACATTACACAAAGTATCAAAGATGCTGCTGGCACCCACAGAGCAAGCCTCCACCCAGCTGCTAACATTGGTCCCTGATTCCATAATCCAGACAGGCTGGCCTAGACAGAGTACCATCCTAACAACTGGACCCAGAATAGCTAGCTACCCCTATGCCCGACCCAACCTTGGTCCCTGCCCACCTTTACACCTTCCAGGAGGGCCTGGGGGTCCTCGATGCCCTCAGGGACACACTTCTTATTCTCCGGGAGAGACTCTAGTTTTTCGACCAAGGCTTTCAGGCCCTTCAGTTCAAATTCGGTAAGGTGGGTCCACTTGGTAGAGACCTCAGTGGAAGGTGAGCCTGTGGGTGTCTTGGGGTAGTCTATGGGCATCGTTGTGGACTTGACACTTTCCTCTGATTCATTGGACAAAGTCCTCTTGAGGAATCGCATGGCAGGGGCTTTGGGCTTCTTCCCTGTGTTCTCCTGCTCCTCTGAGGGGGTGCTGGTGGGTGAGGTGGCGCCATCTGTGGACAGCTTGGGTGTTTTATCTGCACCATCCCCTTCCTCCTCCTTCTCCTCCTCCTCCTGGGGCTGCTGCTCACAGGATTCTTCCTCCATCTCCAGCCAGGAATCAGATGAGAAGCCGTCTACACTGGCTTTTCTTGGGGCATCTGTGGGGAAAACCATAAGACACAATGATGAACATTTAACCCCCGATGGAGGCTCTGTGGATTCCACTCACCCTTACTGTGGAGTGCAAGGGTGTGGTCCAGGTCTCCTGGCCTGTAGATGGGCAGCAGTCAGACAAACACAGGCTCGAATCCCAGCTCTGTATTTCCCAGCTCTCTGCAGCCACACAGGTTGCTTTACCACCGATATATGCCTGGTACTTTACCATATGTATACAGATCAGGCAATGGCAGGGATAAAGAGACAGTTCCAAGGTTAAGTACAATTACTGCTCTGTCAGGGGACAGGGGTTCGGTTCCCAGCACCCACAGGGCAGCTCACAACCACCTGTAACTCCAGTTCTAGGGGATCTGATGCTCTCTGCTGGACTTCACAGTGATGTCCACACATACAGTCAGGCACATACACATACTCTTTTAAAATAAATAGATATTTAAAAAAAATTAGTCAAAGACTGGCAAGATGGTTTAGTGGGTGAAGGCACTTACTGTCAAGCCTGATACTAGGTTCAATCCCTGACACCTAGGTTGTAGAAGGAAAAAATAGACTCCTGAAAGTTGACCACACACACACACACACACACACACACACACACACGGTGGGGGCCTCAGAAAGACAGACTAAATAAATAAATGTACTTAAAATTTTCTACAATGTTCATTCTTATTTTATGTGCATTGTGTTTTGCCTGCACGTATGTCTGTGTGAAGATATTGGATCCCCTGGAACTGGAGTTATAGGCAGGTATAAGCTGCCATATGGGTGCTGGGAATTGAAACTGGTGTCCTTTGGAAGAGCAGTCAATGCTCTTAACTCCCGAGCCATCTGTCCAGCTGCAATGCAAGTAATTTCTAAAACTCTGAAAACAAATTAGTCAAAAAGATCAGTCCAAAACACCACATAGTATAGGGTTCTGTTCATATGAAATCCCTTTGCGATGTGGGGTTTTCTAGACAAAGTAGAGTGGTGACAGCAGAGGGCTGGGAGTAAGCAGAGTTAAGTGGAGAGATGGCCAGGTGTGGTGGTATGTGCCTTTAATCTCAGCACTTGGGAGACACAGGCAGGCCTATATGAGTACAAGTCCAGCCTGGTCTACATAAGAAGACCCTGTCTCAAAAACCACCAAAAAAAACAAAAACAAAACAAATAAAATACCAAAACCAAAACCAAAAAGCTGAGAGCTTAGGGATACACTCCTTCTGGAAATGATGAAAATGTCCTATGATGATGGTTAAACACACACGTCAACAAACTAAAAAGTACCAAAGTGTGACTCCCCAGTGCAAACAAAGCCCTGGGTTCAAGTCCCAGCTCATCATCAACCAGCAGGATCCCTGAAATTTCTGCACTGGAGAAATGAGGGCATAAAAATTAAAAGCTTGATGTTAGGCTGGCCACATTTTAGGCCAGCCTGGACTACATAGCAAGGCCCTATCTCAAAAACAACCAAACCAAACCAAACCAAAAACAAAGACTCAAAACAAACAAAATCAAACAAACAAAAAACCCATTGGCCAGGCCAAACCCCCTAAATACCACAAAAGACAAGACCAAGGGAAAGAAGGGGAAAGACTTACTAAGAGCAGGGAAAGAGACAGGAGAATTAGCGGCTACAAAAGAAATCGCACACTGTGAACAAGAGGTAGATCCATCATTTCATGTGTGTCTTGGGATAGTGACATATGACATGGGTTAATCTTCCTCCCAAACTACCAGCTGCCCCACACAGAGGGAAGAATGTCCTTACATGTAGATCAGGGTTCCCTGCCACGGCCAGCTGCAATTTTGGAATAGGCATCTATGACAAGGGATAGGTGATGGTATTGTCCCTTTAAGTACCAGCAGCAGGTCAGGACACAGCAGCTGAGAGTCTAAGTGCTTCCCCTGCCTCCATCACAGACCCCCTTCTCCTGAAAGCTTGTGTTGCCAGTCCTCACCACCCCTCCTCTCCCTTCTCGGTAAACTCGACTGTGGGTACTAGCTGTATCAAACAGGCCCTGCTCCTATGGGTACAAAAACCAAACCTCAGAGTGTTGTAAGAAAAATCAGGTTAACTACAGAGGAACAAAAAGAGCCTGGCTTCTTCGTTGTGTTGGGTGGTCCTGTTTTAGCAGCTGTGCTGAAATCAGGCTCCTCCATGCCTCTGCACAGTCATGGGAGGGGGCGACAACTGTGTTACTTCTGAGGGTCACAAGCAAGGCCTTTTCTTGGCTCCTGTGTTCCAGATAGGAGGCTCACAAGCAGGACTATTTCCCAAGAAGCCTCCCATCCAGCATTCTGGCTTCCGAGAATCTCAGGGGACCCAGGGCTATCCACAGGCACCATGGTAGGAAGCCTTTCTGCACTGGCCAAGCAGCCAGCTCTGAGCTACATGCAGGTTACTCACCAATAAGCATTAATTCTCTCTGGTATTCCTGAGTGAGGTAGGAGCGCTGGGTCACACAGTACACGTATCTCTCCAAGACATACCAGCACATCTCATAGTAGAAGGGGTAACGGAACTTGGGCTGAACCTGAAAGCAAAGAGCAGGCAGGCAAGAGGTCAGTTTCCAAGAATAATGGGGGAGATACATGGCAGGTGGATGATCCCCTGAAGTAGCGCTCATCATCTTAGCAACAGCATAAATGGCAAAACGGGGAAATGGGAGGTGTCACTGGCAGGGAGGCACAAGGGAGGCCCGGAAAGGGTAGGTGCCAGCAGCATGCACGGACGAGGCGGAGAGACGCCTATGGAAGGCATTAATTTTCGGCCCCTGAGCTACCACCCATCCTGGAAGGTGAACAGGGCCCACTGTGTATAGAAAAAGCCTCTTCCTGACCTGCTGCTAGCACTATGGACACCTGCCTGATTTCTCTGTAACAGACATGGCCCCTCAGTCTGGAATAGTCTTGCATGGACTCTGATGTCTCTCCCCTCCCTTGAAAAACAAAAGTCCACTCCCAATCCTTATCCTTCAGCAGAGAAGCTATTATTATACATCCTCCTGAATTCTGGGAGGAAGGCCAGGAGGGGAGGACCACTGTGAATGGGGGTGCGGCCTCACCTACCTTCCAAAGGTAGGGCCCTCAGGAGCATCCTACTTGTGTTTCCAATAAGGACTCTAAGGGACACAACACCCCAATGTGACTATGGTGAAACATCTTGTCACCAGGGGATACACTGGGGTATGGTGGCAGGGTATCGGTGGAGAGCCCTCTTGGCTGTTTCTTACAGGTGAAGAAACAGTGCGTATAAGAACTATAAATTGTGCGGACCGCAGGGAATTCTGATGGATGGCAGTGCAGGGCCTCTACAAAGGAACTGGCAATGAAAGAAAGGAAGGAATAATACCATTATCGATGGCCTCAGCATGGAGGAACCTTCGGGAAGGCACATCCTGACTGGGGATGGAAGCAGTGAGGTACGGTAAGGTGACTTCATCTCCCATTGTGGGGCACTGCCCTCTTCCAAGCGCTGCACAGTGGGTCTTACACATCCCCACACAGCTACTCATCTTCCTTCCCCCTTTTCCAAGGGTATATCTATGAAGGTCAGAGACTCCCTCCTCACCTTTCTCATCCTTCAGCAAGCATCCCCCACCCACAGGTACCCTTTCTATGCTGACCATATACAGTGCCCTGGTACCTTCTCAACAAAATCAAACATGAGCAGACTCAAGTCCTCCACGACCTAAAATATATTTATCTTGTATTCTCTAAGCACCATACTGGAAAAGACCTCCCCACCCGTCGTCCTTTCCTCATCACTTCAGCTGACTTCTCAGTTTCCAATCCCTTTCCCCACTTCTGGGTTCCATCCCTTCCACCTGTGAACCAGGTGCATTTCATCTCCCTGCCTCTGGCGGATGACGTGCTTAGGGATGAGGTCATGATTGGCCCACATGCGTTTCAGCTCCTCCAGGAGATGCATGGAGTTGGGAGCATCATCTAGCGTTTTCCTTGGCTCCAGCTACTTTGTGAGAAGTCTGGTTTCACTGCTGGGATGAAGGGACTCCTTTTTTCCACACTTACTGACCAGCGCCCCCTGGCCTGGGTGAGGGGGGCTGTAGAGCTGGAGGCAGACCTTGACCTCCGATGATGGAAGGTTTGAGGGGTGGGGCTCAGCCCCATTCCAGTTCCAGAGACAGGGCCAAAGTTTGAAACAAATTGTCAATCCCTAAATTGCAAGCTGAGGAAAACAGACCCCATTCATAACTCCCAACAGTGGACTTCATGGATCAAACACTTGGAACTTTATAGACTTTTCAAAAATTTAGACACTAGCCATGCCACTATGCCCTTGATGGACACTGTGACATCAGAAAATCCTTCTAGGATAGGAGGAAAACAATTAGAGGAGGGGACTGTGTTTCAGGGGAGGACGGCAAATCTCCCCTCTTTGTTGCTGAACCCAAGGGAAACTAGTTGGGTGAAACCAAATACGGATGAAGGAATTCAACTTGGTTTGGTATTTTTTTTGGTTTGGTTGGTTTGGGTTTTTTTTTTGGGGGGGGGGGGGATAATTTAATTTTTTTTTTCCGAGAGAGAACTGCAGGAAAAAAAGTTTTGCAGAAATTGACTTACAAACAGGTTGTCGCCTTCTACCCTTGGCCTTCAAAAGATTTTAGCCACACGCCTGGGAACATTAAACACATGATTGTGCAATATTATTTGGTGACAAACTTAGAGCCTCACCAAATTGAGTTGTTAGCCAGCCTCTGTCCAAAACAAAGGGCAAGGCAGTCACAAAGAAGGCCCTGCACCAGGCCTAGAGGACAATTCATCAACAGTGGATCTCAGGGGTCCAATTGGAGTTCCAAAGGCTCACTTAAGTGGCACCTGCCTGGCTCAAGGCCGTCCTCAGATGCCTGAGTCATCCAAGAATTGAGCGGATGTTGGAGGAGAGTTGAGGAGGTCTCTGTTCACCTAGGATGCCCAGGTCTTGAGAAATTAAATGCAAGGGTGGGCGGTAGTGATCTTAATTTTTTTCTCCTGGAAAAAAAAAATCAGTGGGGAAAAAATAAAAATCCAATGATAGGAGGGAGGGGAGAGGAAATGTAAAAATTTTTCGGGTTTCCAAACAGAGTCACTGGCTGCAAAGGGAGGGGACATAGGGGTGCTGGCATTACCTTTTCTGGGAAAGCTGTTTTCACTAGAGCCATTAAGGGAAAAAAAAGATAAGCATAAGAAAGACAGCAGTTTGATGAGCGATCATCTGGACCATCCTTCCTACCCTCGGTAACTAACTGGAGCTAAAAGCATGTCATGGTTGTTGTGGTGTAATTATAGGAAGAACTCGGCAGTCCGTTCTGGTCTAGCTTTCCCATTGCTGTGATCGTCAGAGAAGGAGGTCCACAGAAGGAAACAGTGCTCTACCAGTCCTCAGAGGCCTAGACCAGTCTGCACTTGCTGCCTTACAGGGGCCCATGACACAGCAGACAGAGTAAGGGTCACCTAGCATGTAGCACAGAAAAATGAAAACATTTTCTAAAAGTGGAAGAAGCTTAGGGTTTGGGGGCTGGATAGCCAATCCTTCCCCCACCTAGCATTACAAAGGCAAACTCCTTTTCTAAAGTCAACCCCATACCGAGAGGCCAGGGACTCCTGCACTGGGCTTCCTCTCTCTGTCCAACCTCCAGCATTTGTTTCCAAGCAAAGCCATGTTTTAGAACACTGGGAAAAACTATTTTTAAATGGCCATAACCTTCTTAAAGGAGTTGATAGGGATGGACAGAATTGAGCTGTATCGGGCTGACAAGTAGAACTGACATTTTATCTGGCTCCCAGGACTCTCTCTAGGGCCTTTTGTCTGCTTTGGCTCCTAAGACAGAAACAATTGGGCCTTGTAGCCAAGTCCCTCTCCAAAGACCAGAAATCAAAGCAGATTAAAATGCCTGCTGTTGCTTGCAGCTCAGCCTGCCCCCCACCCTCACCCCAGTCATCCTTCCTCCAGGCCTAGAGCCAACAATCAGCTTCAGAGAAGCCCCCCTAAAGACTAAGGACAAGGAACCTCGGGGGAGGGAGCCCACGAAGTGCACCTTGATGTGGTAAGACACTTCACCAGGGGAAGCAAAATGAGGCTGTGGGGGGTTCCATTACCCTGACTCTTGCCTTGAGTGGGGAGAGGAACTAGGCTCCTAGGGGTTATGGGGGGGGGGCAGGTGCTCTGAGATGAGTAATCAGATTCCCATAGGAGGGGACAGCTACCCTGCAAGTTGCCAGAGAAATTGAGAAATCTCAGTCTGATTGTGGCTTTCAGGAACTGCCTGGAAAGTCTGGGCTTAACCTCTCTGGCTTCCCATCCACCCCTGTTGGTAGCCACTCACAACAAATGGTCTGTTTTTCAGGGCTGGTTAAAGAACAGTTGGTCAGAGTCCAGACATCATTTGACTGGGACTGAAAAGTGACCATTTGTGCCCAAACAGTACCTTCCTTCCAAAAACCACAGAGAACGTGTTCCAGACCTGGGCTAAGTGCAGCTTTCTAGAAAGACAGAAGAAAACTAAGAAGCAAGGGGTCTGCATAGGATCTTGGCCCAGGACAATGTGGAAGTGGGCCTCACAAGACAGGAAACCCGAGAACTGGAAATGCAAGCATGCCCGGAACGCCCTCAAATCCCCCCTCCTTTTGACTCTAATGTATCATTCCATGAAAAGGAAACTTAGAAACAAGACTGCAAAGATCCATTCTGACCAGGGTGGCTTGAGGTATTTCTTTGCACAGTCCAAGCACACCAATACTCCTTTGGGGCCAAAAAGCCACTTCCCAGGCAAAACCCAAGTAGAAATGTCTCGTGGTCTGTTCACACAGTGGAGTTCCACTCAGTCATGAGATGCGCTGCCGTGTGCTACAACATGAATGTACCATGAGAAGGTACATCATGCTAAGTGAAAATGTCCAGATGTAAAACGCCAAATATTACATGATTCCATTTATAGCAAATGTTCAAAACAGGAAAACTCATAAAGGCAGAAAGATAGGGGCCACCAGGGCTGGAGAAAGAGGGAATAGGACGACTGCTAATGGGCACAAGGGTTCCTTGGGAGGGGTGAAAATGTGCTAGAATTAGTGGTAACGGCTACATAGGAAAAATACAGAACTGTACACTTCAAACAGTGAATTTCATGGTATGTAAGTTATATCTCAATTCAAAGAAATATTTAAATATCACATTAATACTGAGGAGCCAGGTGATGGTGGCATACACCTTTAATCCAGGCACCTGGGAGGTGGAGGCAGAGGCAGGGGATCTCTGTGAGTTTGAGGCCAGCCTGATCTGCAGACAGAGTTCCAGGACAGCCAGGGCTGTTGTACAGAGAAATTCTGTCCGGAAAAATGAAACACAACAAAAAAACAGAAGTAGAAAAGAGGAGGGAAGATAGGAAATAGGCTCCTTTCCTCCCAGGGTCAGCTTCTCACCCCTGAAACTGGGGTGGGGTTCAAATGCCCGGGGACCTGTGATCAAGCCACAGCATTGGAAGGAGGGTGGTCAAGTCGCAACCATCGAAGATAATCAATGAAAACTCCAGGAACAAACGGCACACATGGCCCTTATCTTGGGAGATTTGATAGCTGAGAAAGCATCACCCGAGTGGTCACAGGGAAGCCCCCGTTCAAGGGAGCTTTCAAGGGGAGCCAGGGGACACCAGCTCAGCAAGAGGACTCCGACACAGGCTTCCTTTCTGTCAGACTTCAGCTTCTCAGGTGAATACATAGGAAAGACATGACCTTGGACCAAGCTGGCCCTTTTCCAAGCCTCCCCAGGCCCTGCAAACTTCAGCAACAAGAACACCACAAGTTCCACACACCTTCTTTCTATATATGCAGTGAAGAGAAAGGCCGAGTCCCTCCCACCTCCCGCTGTTCTCCTGAGACACAAATACACAGACACTTGCTCAGGTAGAGATATATAGACACTGGTTCTACCAAGTTTTCTTTGTTTTTTTTTTTTTGTTTTTTAATGAGAAAAATGTATGTTTTTGAATGAGAAAAATGTAGCTTTGCCTGGCCCCACTCTATGTAGCCCTGGCTTCTGATCCTGCCTCCACGTCCCAGGTGTTGAGATTTTAGCTATGTACAATCATGCCCAACTTTCCCATAAAGGGTTCTGTCTTCCTACAGCCTGGTGGTGAAGAGAAACTCTGGGGATTTGGGAATGGGCTCTTGTGCAGGATCTCACAGCTCCCTCCAAAACCAGAAGCGAGGCCCCACCTTGAGATGGAAAGAAGTGGGAAGGAACTAAAGTCCAGTTTCGGAAGGCCAGCACACCCCCAGGGAGAGAAAGGTGCCTTCTTACCCGGGTTCTGTCCTCAATCTCGTAGATCCGAAGCTGCATGGGTACATTAAAGCTGTGCAGGATGTTCCCGCCGAACACCAGAGAGTCCACAGGGGTGTACACTGCATGGATCCAACCTGAGCGGGGAGATCAGGAGGGTGAGCCCTGGCTCCTCTTACAAGACTGGAAGGAGGGGCTGAAGAGATGGCTCAGAGGTTAAGAGCACTGACTGCTCTTCCAGAGGTCCTGAGTTCAATTCCCAGCAACCACATGGTGGCTCACAACCACCTTGAGTGAGATCTGGTGCCCTCTGCTAGCATGCAGGCAGAAGACTGTATAGACTGTATACATAATAAATAAATAAAATCTTTAAAAAAAAAAGACTAGAAGGAGGGAAACATAGCACACAGGAGGGCGCAGGGGGCACTGATGTACAAGGACATGTGATGCAGACACCAAGGCTCCTGGACAGCATGAGGGATTCATCCTGCAGCCCCTAGAGGCCTCAGTTAACTCAAGGCAAATGCTGGGATGCTGCGGTAAGTACCTGTCTTGAAGATGCTGATGGCCAAACCTTCTTCCTCCCAGAACTTGGCTGTAGCCAGTCCTGGTCCCTGCATCCATGCTGAGCCTCCCCAGAGGGAGTCATATGGGACAGCTGAGAGCAACAGCTACAGAATTCAGACACCTTTTTCTGCAGAGAATATCCTATTGGCATGGAATCCTCAAGACCCATGTCTAAATTACCTCCTTAATCACAGGATGCTTGTATCCCCTCTCAGCTTTCTCACCCCTGCATTCTTCCCCAGGTCTTAAAGCCATGCCAGATGTGTCTTCCACTCACTGCAACTTTGTTTTGGTTTTGGTTTTTGGTTTGCTTGGTTTTTGGATACAGAGTTCCTCTGTGTAGCCCTTGCTGTCCTGGAGCTCTGTAGACCAGGCTGACCTCCAACTCACTGAGATCCGCCTGCCTCTGCCTCTGCCTCCACCTCCCAGGTGCTGGGATTAAAGGTGTGGGTCACCACTGCCCAGCTTATTAATTTTTACAGAAGCAATCACTTTTCAACTACAACTTACAGGTGAAGAAACTAAACTAAGGTGTGTTAAGGTAAAGTCATCTCGAAGTATTTGAACCCCCAAAGTTAGCTTCTACCTGGTTTTTTTTTTTCAGCACTATTACACCTTCATTGAGACTGGTCACACTGGCAATGCAGAAAGCATCCATGTGGCCCCCAGACATGCTAGGGGGCATGCAGCTTTATAGTACCTCTAATTTGCAGATGTTCAAACGGGCTCAGAGAGGAAAGAGTCCCTTGCTACTGGTCAGTGGTGGCACATGCAGGCAGAGGCAGGTGAATCTCTGAGTTCAAGGCAAGCCTGGTCTACAAGAGCAAGTTCCAGCACAGTCAAGGCTACACAGAGAAATCCTGCCTTGAAAACAAACAAACAAACAAACAAACAACAAAACAAAACCAAAAACCAAAAAGTCCCTTGTTGAATGAAGCTGCAGCTGGCAAGGGAGAACAGCTGTTTCTAACAACTCTGCATTGCCCCAGCGGTTGTCCATGGAACAGGGATAGGAATACACCAGGAAGCAAAGGAGAAACACAGCAGGAAGTAAGGACAGAGGCAATGATAAGGACTTCCAGCGGGGCAACTCAGAGTGGAAGACAGCAGAGGGGAGAGAGCAACAGGAGCACACAGACCCGAGCCTCTCTTCCCCAAACATGTGCTTAACTATTTCACTCAAGGGAAAACTCTGGAGCCCAACCTAACTCTCTGTCCAGGCCCCACACAGTTCCAGTTATCTTGCCCGGTGAGCTGAGACATCAGCTCTCAGGCTCACAATCTGCACCTGGTGCAGGGAACAGAAGGACACTTGTAGGATCCAAGGCCCCTGCTGGACACAGCCACCAGCCCTTGTTGTATATTTTGTTTGTGTTCTGACAAATAAAGCTTGTCTGGAGATCAGAGGGCAGAGGTAGTCACTAATTAACTATAGAGGCCAGGTGGTGGTGGCTCACACCTTTAACCCCAGCACTCAGGAGGCAGAGAGGAAGTAATAAGGCCGGGAGACAGGATCTGGATGGGCCCTTTTGGATGGAGGAACAGAAGCAGGTAGGAGGCAACAGGCAGCTGCTCCTGGTTCTCTAATCTTCCGTGTCCCACCCCCCCCAATATTTGACTCCTGATTTTTTTTATTGATTAACAATAATTAGACCCACGCTTCAAGCCCTCCTTGCCAGAGTGGGCAGAGCTAACTGTGGCCAGAGAAAAGCAAGAAAAACTGTCACCGATGGCTGGACACCACGGGATACAGGAATGGAGGCTCTGCTTTTGCTTTCAGGTCTCTGGCTCAGGCCACCAGCTGCTCTGTGACCCATGTGCCACTGAAGGAAACCATCAAGCAACCTGGACCTTTGTGCCTTCTGGGGAAGACATGGCTGGTGTCCGCATTTGCTTGGTGTAATTCTGTATCAGCATAAGACCCCATTTGTAGCCTTTTCTATCCTGTGGGTGGGTGGGGAGTGTGTATACACATGCACCTGTGTGGGGAGGCCAGAGACATCAGGGTCTCTCACTGAAGCTGGATCTTCCTGACTGGCTAGACTGGCTGTCCAGTGAGTGCCAAGGATCTCCCGTCTCAAGCCCAAACCTCAACCCCCAGTGGTGAGATTACAGATACACTGAAACTGAGTCTGCACACTGTAAAAACAACAACAAAAAAGCAAAGCAACAAACAAATGGCGTCTCCTGCCTCTGCTACCTGTTGGCTGATCTGTGCAAAAACACATTTCCTTGTTTTCACCAAGCAGAGCTACGCTGTCTGTGACTGTTGTCACTGCCACCATCAGTGATATTTAAACACTTCCTAAGACTGAACTGAGGATGTCTGGAGCCACCAGGCCCTGTTCCTATACTCCACATGCTCACCTTTCCCTCTACCCAAGTCTGAACTTAGGGCCCCTGGTTCCAGACTCCCTCAGTTGGCCATGTGTGCCCACCTGAAGAAGACTCCTGCCTTCTTCGTGGGGAACGTGGTGAGCAAGAAGCAATTGCTATGGTGTCAGTTTGGAAAAGGACAGGGCCCACATTAGTGTGTACTGATTAACCTGGAGTCTCCCTGGAAGAAGAAATGGGGGCACACCAGACTTACATCTATTACCTTGACGTGTGAACAGAGGGAAACAGAAGACAGATGCCACTGTATGCCCAGCTATTCAAGGGAGTCTAGAAGTTTCTACAGACTTTCCTTCCCACCCTAGGGCATCACAGGTGGCTCAGGCAGACTCGATTGGATTAAAGTGGCTGCTGAGTCCCTTTCCAGCCCTGCATATATTTGCTTTCACTGTCTCAGGGATGGAGGCTGTAGCATTCAAAACCCCATCCATCCTCATTCTCCCGAGAGCAGCTCATTCATGACCATACTCTGGGAAGCTGGTGACCTGGGCTATAACTGGGCAGGAGAGGCTAGCATCTGCCATCAGCAATATGAAGGCAATAAACGGCTTATATTCAGGCCAGGCGACCAGGGACAGATGCAGCCATGGAATGAACACAGTGACCCACAAAACCCACTGCAGGGGTGATTTCTGGGACCTGGGGGGAGGGAGGGGCGAGAACAACAGAGGAACGAGGAGTCTCACCCACAACCCCAGTGCTCAGAATGCAGTCTACAAGCCCCATGGTACGTCTGCCTCCATTTTTGTGGTTGCTGTAGAGATGACTTCACAGCAACCCACGCCCACGCCCTGGGCACGGTGGCTGCCAACTAGCAAACTACAGGCTGCATTTGATCCAGGGGTATGTTAAGTTTGGGCTACCTCATGTTTCAAAACGGGGAGATTTCCCCTGAGAATCTGAACTGCTTCCTCCTCACAACATGGGAAGATACACAAGGCGAGCCCCAGTCCTACCTGCCCCTGAAAAAACAGAGCCAATCAGCAATTGCCCAATTTCCCATGCCTCTGGCTCCCTCTACTGCTCACCTGCTTCATTCTATTTCTACCCTGTTCTGTACCCATTTTACAGGTGGGCTACCAAAGGGCCTCATCATGTTATCTTGTCAAGGATTCAGATTCACCAATACTAACTTACTGGTGTCACCAGGCAGTTCATTTCTCTTATTTGGATATACATATATTTTTTAGACAGGGTCTCACTGTCTGGTCTTGAACTCACAGAGATCCATCTGCCTGTTTCCAAGTGCTGGGATTAAAGATGTGCACCACCACAACCAGCAAAACTTTTTTGAGACAAGGAACATTGGCCACCCATACTAGCTTCCTCCTGCCTCAGGTTCCCAAGGGATAGTTCTTACTCCAAGGCAAGGACAGAGAATTCTTTAAGAACAGCCTAAGTCTCTGGACTACAGAATACTTCTCAGAGATTTCTAACATTCAGGTATTCCTAACAGGCCACCATAGTGGCCACCCACATGACTGCCACTTGGCCGAACAGGCACCCAAGGGGAGGGTGGGTTGTATCTCATGTCCCCTCATTGCTTGAAACCAGTTTGGCTCCAAGAACATTTGCACTGTGTTTTAATTGGGAGGTGAATAAGAGGATCATGGGTTCAAAGTCATCCTCCACTGTAACAATTTTGAAGCCAGCCTGGACTTTATGAGACTCACGAAAACCAACCAACTAACCATATAAATACACACACACACACACACACACACACACACACACACACACACACACACACATATAGTTTGTTTTTGTTTTTCAAGCAGGGTTTCTCTGTGTAACTTTGGAGCCTATCCTAGCACTCGCTCTGGAGACCAGGAGAGGCTCTAATTCACAGAGATCGGTCTGCCTCTGCCTCCTGAGTGCTGGGATTAAAGGCATGCGCCACCAACACCTGGCTAAAAGATATTTTTGTTTGTTTGTTTGTTTGTTTGTTTAGTTGAGATGTTTGTTGGTTGGTGGGCTTTTGTTTGGATTGGTTAAGAGAAAAAGTAAGTTTACCAAAGTTACATGGCCTGGAAGGGCAAACAGATTACAGGCCAGGTGAGTAGGTGTAAAAATTAGGTACACCTGGGCAACTAAACCTGACCCAGAAACTTATAAATTGAGAAATAAACAGACCTTTGGTCAGGTATCTTTATTTTTGGAAAAAGGGGCATAGGGGAAGGGGGGGCTTGAGTTTTCCCTTTACATTGACAACAAAAGGAAACAGTGGAGATACAATGTTTCCTGTTCAGAATTATTTACCTGGACTAGTACAGCCACAGGGAGAGGCCAAGGCTTCGAATATGGTCAGGACACTGGAAAAAAAGATGCCCTTTGGCTCATCCTGATGTTGCTCTGACTTCTTCTTTTTTTTGAGATAGGGTTTTTCTGTGGCTTTGGAGGCTGTCCTGGAACTTGCTCTTGAGACCAGGCTGGTCTCGAACTCACAGAGATCTACCTGCCTCTGCCTGCCGAGTGCTGAGAGGGACTAAAGGCATGCACCAGCACCACCACCTAGCTGCCCCCTGACTTCTTATTGCTTAACATTCATGCTTGCTTCTAATGGCCAGGCTGAGCCCAGTAGTCTGCTAACTAGATGCTCCTGGCACCCTGACACTATGTTACCATTTCCTCTGCTTCCTTGATGGTCAGCAGATCCACAGGATAAACCCACAAGCCCCCTATTCTGGGTCTTCCCACTTCTCTGTGCACGTCTTCTTCAGTGCACTTCCTCCTCCATAGAGCTTTCCTGGCCTGCCCAGGGATGGAGACTGGCCTTGAACCATACATAGCCCTCAGACACATGAAAAGGTGACATATACTGAACCACTCTAACCCACTAGCCTCCTATGAGCTTTCAAAGAACTGGAGACCTACTGAGAGACACAGGCGGGACACTTAGGGCTTAAGGCAGCAGAAAACATGTCTAAAGTCACTAGGGTGGGTTTGAAGTGTTATAGTTCATTTTGTAGAGTACTGAGCAGTTAACGCATATGAGGCCCTGGGTTCATTCCTCAATATAGACAGACAGACAGAGTATGTCAGTCACTATGGAGGTTGGTAATTGTGGTACATGCCTTAGTCCCAACATCTGAAAAGCAGAGTCAAGAGGATCACAACATCTAGGTCACCCTGGGTTACATATCAAATCTGTCTCAAGATTGATAGGGTGCCCTGTGCCTATAATACCAGCAGAAGTAGAAGTAGGGGGATCAGGAGGTCACGAACTTTGTCAGCTATACAGTTAAACCAAAGCCAACCCAAGTTATGTGAGACCCTGCCTCAAAACCCCCACCTCATACACAAAAAGGCTGACTGAAAAAGAAAAAAAAGAGAAGAATAAAATTTCTGGTCATCACCATGGAAATGAAAACCTAAGTCAGAGGAGAAAGGGACAAGAATTAGATTCCTAACACAGAAACACTTGTATGAGAAGGCTTTAAAGCCTCCTGGATGCCCTAGGCTCTCTCCATGCAAACACACAAGCAGACTACCATACATCTCAAAGGTGTGTATCCGTGCTTCAAAGGGTTTAGATGCTAAACCCTTTGAGAGAGTTTCCATATCCTGAGGGAACCCAAGTATTCACCTAGCTCTCTGAAATAAAAAAAAAAATCAAATCCTAGAGCCAGCAAGATGGCCCAGCAGGTGAGGGTACCTGCCACCAAACATGACGACCTGAGTTGGATCACTGGGACCCATATGGTAGAAGGAGAGAACTAACACCCTCAAGCCATCCTATGGCCTCCAACTCTACCCACCCACAACACAACACACACACACACACACACACACACACACACACACACAGAATAAAATAAAATTCTTATCTTTTAATGTTGCCTGGTAGCAACTACGTGGAAAAAAAAAAAATGTGGGCCCTGCTCATCCACATACAAGCCTGCTTCTGTGCATTCAACCCCTAAGGGATGTCTCTGTGAAGATTATATCCAGACTTTTTTCTTCTTATTTCCTAAATAATACAATATAGCAATTCTTTACATAGTGTTACATTGTATGAGATCTCATTCCTGATAAGAGACTGGTTTTGGTACCCACAAGGCATATTATAACCAGCCTCCTTGACCTGGGCATTTACAGCTACCACATTTCTTTCTCAGGGACCCAACAAAATTTTCCTTTTTTTTTTTTTTTTTAAGATTTACTATTTATTATGTATACAGTATTCTGCCTGCAGGCACAAAGAGGGCACCAGATCTCATTATAGCTGGTTGTGAACCACCATGTGGTTGCTGGGAATTGAACTCAGGACTTCTGGAAGAGCAGTCAGTGCTCTTAACCTCTGAGCCATTTCTCCAGCCCCCACAATTTTCCTTTAAACTCATATCGCTCAACAGTTTCTTGCTATCCTTTCTTCTGGTTGGCATATCTTTCAAAGTCTAATTACCAAGAGATATAAAAGCTCCCACATGTAGACTAACCACACACACACACACACACACACACACACACACACACACACACTTACCTCTGATCCCCAGGCCACAAGCCACCTCTATTAGTTAACTCAGTCTATAGCTAAAAGCCATCTGTCTGTCTGTCTCTATGAAACTGGAGGAAGGAGGTCTGACCTCACTAGGCCTACACAACCCAGGGAAGTTCATGCTCCATTTTTAAGGTGAGAACACTGAGGCAGCAGAGTCAAAGTGCCAGCTAAGAGGGTTCATCACCTTCCCCTGGAGCTTGCATCCAAGTCTGTGGGGGCACAGTCATCTTCACTACCTAAGGGCCCTGTCATCTTCACACAGAAATCTTTAGACCAGTGGTTCTCAACCTCCTTAAAGCTGTGACCCCTTAATACAGTTCCTCCCATTGTGGTGACCACAGCCATAAAATTATTTTCATTGCCAGGAGTTGGTGGCACACGCCTTTAATCCCAGCACTCAGGAGGCAGAGGCAGGCATATCTCTGAATTCGAAGCCAGCCTGATCTCCAGAGTGAGTTCTAAGACACGATCCAAAGCTACACAGAGAAACCTGGCCTCAAAAAACCAAAATAAATAAATAAATAATCATTTTCATTGCTACTTCATAACTGTAATTTTGCTGCTGTTATGAACCATAATTTAAATATCTGATATGCAGGATGTCTGATATGCGACCACTGTGACAGGGTTGTTTGACCCCCCAAAGTGTTTGTGACCCACAGTATAAGAACCACTATTCTATGACGGGCGGTGGTGGTGCACGCCTTTAATCCCAGCACTTGGGAAGCAGAGGCAGGTGGATCTCTGTGAGTTTGAGACCAGCATGGTCTACAAGAGCTAGTTCCAGGACAGCCTCCAAAGCCACAGGGAAACCCTGTCTCGAAAAACCAAAAAAAAAAAAAAAATCACTATTCTAGAAAAAGGCCCAAGATAGACATTCAATGTCCCCAGAAGGATATGAGGCTTCTCCGAGGGACAAAGGCGGCCAACCCACAGGTATGGTGACTCAGGTTATATGTATTCTCTGTAGCCTGAGACCTGCTCCTCTCAGGGTATACCAATGGCACGTCTAATCCCAATGCCCATAGAAGCCCTCAGTAGGCCTCCAACCCTGGCTGAGACCACAGGGAGGCAGGAGGCTGCTCCAAATATTGGGGGAGCCAGGGGTTGACTGACCCCAAGCCAACCATACAGGAACCTACCAGAAGGGATGAAAAATGTGTAGCCTTGTTTCAGCTCAATTCTTTGGCATCGCTCCACTCGGTCTCCCAGAAAGATGTCACTTTGTTTGCCTGACAGCACCCATTCCTCATATAATGCCAAGTTGTGCAGGGTTGGAGGGATCAGCCAAAAGATCTTGGGAGGGAAAGGAGGCAGTTAGGCCGAAGTCTCTGATTTCTTCTGGGCTCTGAACAAACCCCAAAGAGCCCCACCTACTTGGGGAGGGATAGGGAGAGTGGCAAATCCATCTGTCTGGGCTCCCCGAACAAGGAAGGGTTCTGGCTGCTATGGGGGTAACCCCATTCTAGCTGAAATACCAAGGCAGGAATGCTTCCTGCTTGGGGTGGAACATTTTTTCTCGTGAGCCACAGGCTTGTTGGAGAGGTGGGGAATGGAGTGGAAGGGAATTTCCTAAGATGTATGATAAAATGGCCCCAATAAATAAACTCAGCCTGTGCTCACTTTGGAGGAGGATAAACATCTGGACTCAAGTGGGCCAACTTCCTCCCAGAGTCTCTTCCAACACTGTGGTGTAAAATGGATGTCCATGAAGTCCCAGATGAGCCAGGCACACATGGGCACTCTCAAGAACCACCTGCATCCATTCAGGGACATCATCCACAAAAGTAGACACAGCATGAGCACCTTGGATACGTACCCTACTACTTACTTTTCAGAGTGTCTCCCCCTGTGGTAAAATGTTCTTGCTTGGAGGCAGGCAGCAACTGCCACCTCTACTCCAAGCTAAAAAAACCCAGAGACAAAGCTGAAGAACTTCATGCTAGGGGTTCTTGAGAGTTGTAAACTGGCCTAAAGCACTTACAATACAAGACAGGGCAAGTGGGTATGAACAGATGATCCTCCCCTTAAGAAGGAAACAGAAAGCCAGGAGGTTCCAGGGGATAGAGTGGCCCTAAGGTACTCACTGGGCAAGAGGGAAGAGAGGTAAAAGAAGGGAAAAGCAAGCCTCTCCATGCACAGAGATGTACAAAAGCTACAGATACTCACCTTCCCCCCACGGAAAACATGGTACCACACAGAGGTGCCTCCAAAGTCAATGTGGAAGTCGGTGAAACAGCCCTTCACGCTCATCAGACAGTACCTGCAGCACAGAAGTGGAGTGGGGCAGAAAACACAAGTCAACCCCAAATCACAGGAGGTGAGCAAACCCTTCAGAGCCACCTGACCCGAGATGCCCTTTTATAAAGGTTGTAGATGGGGAATTTCCTCCTCTTTTTTAAAAAACTGAAATCTAAGTGGAGTTTCCCTCCTGGGGGATGCCCCTGGGATCAGGTGACAAATCTCAAGAATGGGTCATCCACCCCAGAAGCTCAGATACAGAGTCTTAGTTTTCAAGTTCCCAAGAGAACTGGCAACCCACAGGCCACTATCAGTTTCGACCTTTACCCACCATCCCCGCCCAGCTCCAAGGCTTCCTTTCTGCTCCATCACAGCTCTGATAGCTTCAGCTCTCCCTAGCTGACAGCCCCCTTTGTAGCAGCTGGGCCCCCTGGAATTCAGTAGTAAACCACCTGCGTAGTTTGCCAATTACCCGTCCCCATTCATCTCATTCATTCAACCAGCACAGCACTGACAGAAATGGGTAAGAATGCAGAAGATCCCTGCCCTTGCAGATGAGCCCCTTGCAGTTGAGGGTTACACAGATAAAGTTAAACGATGCAATGGCTTGCCAAGTAAGCAATGAGGCTAGAAATCCCACCCAGTGTGATTCTGCAAATACAAAACGTCCCAAGTTAAGGAAATCCAAAGAGGAAGCACACAGACAGAATAGTGATGGCCAGGGGCTGGGATGGGGGTGGGAATAACAGTAAAGAGTACGGGATTTCATTCCTTCCAGGTGAAAATGTCCTAAAATTGACTGTGTGTTCGCAGCTTTCTGTGAATACACTAGAAAACACTGGGTTGCACACTTTTTCTGTGTGAACGATAAGTGAATCTTATCTCAACAAAGCTGTTTTATCTTTTTTTTTTTTTTTCATTGAGTGGAGGGATTATGAGGTCTTGGAATCAGAGAGGGGTGAAGAACTCTGGGCAATACAAGCTGGATCACAGGTTGTGCATTCAAGGAAAGGAGGAGCCCACAACATCGTTCTTCCCTTATCAGCACTAGAAGAGGTAGACAGCTCAATCTTTCCTACAGGTACACAGTAGTCTCCTGTTCCTCCCCCTATGTGCACAGAGCCTGAGTGAGGCGGGGATACCCCATTGGCTTCCAAGTCCAGGCCTGGCCAACAACAGTGTTAGCCCCCCTACCACTGACCCCTACCCACAAGAACCCTAAGGGGGCACAAAAGAACAAACTCCCCTCCCTCATGCCCATCTTGACGCCTACAGAGGCCCGAACACAGGCTTACCCCACTGACCTCTTTTCCCGGCTGCACTTTGCTCTTCCGTGGTTTGGGGAAGAGGGATGGAATGGGGCGGGGACCTGCAGTGAGGAGTCAGCAGCAAGCCGGAGTGGAGAGAATGGGGGGCGTGGGGCTGGGTAGGCTTGAAGGTTGGAGGGCTCCAGGAGCCCCCTCCTTCTCGTTGCCTTTTGCACCTCTCGTTCAGGTGGACCCGGGGCTCAGCAATATGCAGGCAGCGTGCCCCGCGTCCCTCCTCCGGATAGGCTGGAAGGAGCTTTAACCATGTGTCTGCAGGAGCCTGACAAATCACAAGGCCTCCCCATACATCAGAGCCCCGCTGCCTAGCAACCCCATCGGAGGGGTGTAGTTGACAGCCCAGGACTGTCACGAAGCTGGCACTAGGGCTGCTGAAGTCCTGACTGGGGCTCCACACCCTGTGCGCCGGCCCACCCAAGGTGATGCAAACAGGTTCCCTGACTTAAAACCAGAGAGGTCTTCCCTCCAAAGAATGGGGGGGGGGGTCCTAAAGCCCTATCCTACCCCACCCTCAATGTCCACACTGGCCTCTTTCCTCTAAGCTCCACTTCAAAATATTAGTCCTCATCTCCCTAAAACCAGCTCTTGCGCTCGGTTTGTTTTTCAGTCTTCTTTTTTAATCTAACCTTGGTTTCCACCCCCTCCAGGCCTCAGCTGAATACAGACTAGAGAAGACAATTTAAGTGTATGGGGTGGAGCCAAGAGAACAGGCTTCTTTCAGCCTGCAGCTGGATGCCCACGGGGCACCTACAGCAGGGAGAAAGGACCAGGTTGGGTTGTCCAGCTCTAAGACCCTTGGGACTGCTTGGCCAAACGGGCCATTCCCATTTAGCCCATCTTCCAGCGGCCCCACTCCCCACCCCTCACACAGAAAATTGGGTTCTCTGGCTGTGTGCGCAGGGAAAGTTCTCCAAGTGCAGCCTGTGTCTGATCCTCCTTTGGGAACCCACTGTGTGCTAGAACCCTACTTCCAGACCATCCTCTTCTAATGTGGGCACCTCCTTTCAGCGTCCATCCCACCCTTCCTATCCGCTAACCCTCTCATTAAGCCGAAGTGGCTGTGACAGGGTGGCTTTGTACTGGCCCCTGCTGTCCAAAGGCACCCCTAGGCTCGTCACCCCAAGGCTCGCACCCGCTCTGACTGGGGGCTCCCTCCTCGCTCCTGCTCACTCTGGCACGACGCCTTTGCACTGACCTCTACAGCTTCCTCCTCCCAAGCACACCGCAGTCACATGGGCACCCCGGCTCGGCTTTCTCCCCCAGCCGCTAAAGCTTTTCCCTCCCTCCGCCAGCCCGCCAGCTAGGCAGGCTTCCGCAACGGCAAGGCTGGACAGCCAGGCACGCGACACCCCCAACCCCCACCACACCGGGTGGCTTCTATGCACCCTGCAACTTAGCAGCTGGAAATTGCTGAAAATCTGTAGCCCGAGAGCTCAGTCCTTGAGGGGTTGGAGACCCGGGATAGAGGAAGGCACGCGGAATCAGGGGGCGCTGCACCTGCCTCACCAACTTTGGGGCGCGGCCTCGGGTCTGCAGAAGCCAGGCGGCCCCACCTCGCCCTTCTCTCTCCAACTTCCAGAAACTCTGCCCGAGGTGGCCCAGTTGCCGTCCCCTTGGGCTAAGGTCTGATGGAGAGACCCAGGAAAGCTGGCGACGGGTGGCGGGCTGGAGGCGCCGCGCGGGCGCGAACAACGTACACGCCCCACACTTCCAACCCGCCCCGGGAGACACAAAGAACAGCTCAGCAACGCTGGCCGTGCATCCCGCGGGCAGGAGGCCACCCACACCCGCCCCACGCGCCACAAAGGAGGTTACCCTCGGCGGCCGCGGAGCGGCTCCCAGGCTTCCCCTTCCGCAGAGGCTCGACGCGCGCCAGCCCCGTGAGGCGACGGCAGCCAGCCCAGTCCCCGCCACCGCGCTGCCAGGCCCCAGACCAGGACGCTGGGGCCCTCTCGCGCCGCCTGCCTTCCTTCCTTCCTTCCTCGGGGAGACAGGCGCAGCCTGCAGCCTGCGCTCATCCCCGCGCTGAAACTGAACACCTGCGCGGCGCGGAGGCCGCCAGGGAGGTGGAAAGGCCGCGGTGACACAGAGAAGAAGAGCACCAGGACACACCAGGGCACGCGCCATCACACACGGCGGCCCCCTCGCCCACTCCTGCTCTCTCTGGCAGTAGCTTGGAGACTACTAGGTCTGGGTTTTCCAGAGTGTGGATAAACACCTTGCTGCCCGGGTGGCGATATAATAAAACCATCTTCCTTAAATATTCACCCTCCAGCACAACTGGAGGGAGGACCAGAGCTAAGATTTCTGGGGAGTCTATGATGGGGAGGGGTGAGAGACTATCTGTGTGACCTTGGGCAACTTGTTTCCTCTCTCAGGGTAATTTCCTAGAAGGAGGTAAACTGAAGTTTAGCTAGGCATTCTGGAAGACTCTTCTACCTGCCCCTCAGTAGCCCTGTATCCCTACGGACATAGAACTTATTGCAAGAATTTACTGAGATAAATATCCATTAATTAGAAACTACATTACTCAACACAAACCACTGTAAACTCATTCCTACCATTTCAGACGAGGAAGCCAACCATTCACAAGCACTGCCCTCATCTTGGACACTAGCCTAGCAGTGGCAAATCTCCGAGTCCTTTCCAGAGGGACCTGCTGAATCCCAACTCAAAAACAACAAAATCTGAAGTCACGGCTGAACTTCAGTCATTCACTAACTTTAGGCAAAAAGAAGTGTTCAACTCAAAAAGTCACCTCAGGGTCAAGGGGAAAGAGAATCTTCAAACCCTGGCCCTATACCCGTCCTCCAAAGCCACAAGGAGGCAGAAACCAAATTCTATCCTTTGGTCACTGTAGACTGTGGAAAGCCAGCAATGTTAATACGTTCTAACTAAAGTGTTGACAGTAACCGTTATATTCATGATCCTATAGAGATCGGTGTAGCTTATGTCACCCTTCAATCCCATCAGCCCCACTTTAAGTATGCAAACACTGAACCCATTTCCAGGTACTTAGTGAGCCAGGCAGCTCCTCTCCGTACCCCCCCACCCCCCACCCCCGTTGTATCTATAAACTTAGACTCTAGGTGGTTGGAATGTTTTTTGTTTGTTTTGAAAGACCCGCTCGAAATGCCCCTGAGCCCCCTGCCCCGAAGCTGCCGGGGCCTCCCAAGCCTTCACCCTGGCAGGGCTCGCGCCCCCGGCCCGCCCCGCCTGGCACCGAGCCTCGGGGCTGGGGCCGAGCAACGAGCACCAGATGGGCAGGCCCGAGAACGAGCACCAGGTGGGCCAGCCCGAGAACGAGCACCGGGTGGGCCGGCACGAGGGCGAGCACCAGGTG